CTGAATAATCTTTGCAAAATTTACTGTTATTGTTATGGAAATATTTATTTAACAAAGACAGAAATACGTGGTCAAAGAAATGATCCACTGAGTTTTATTGTTTTGGAGGAAGCTGAGTTTTGCTTTTTAACGTCTATTCCACTGCAGAACTACAGTTTAACCTTAGTTTAGATTTAGGTTCTGAGTCCAAAGAGGAGCAAGGGGAGAGCTAGTGTTTTTATAATTTTTTCGGTTCTAGATTTAGTTTTTTTTTTTTCGTTATTTTTGATTTTATTAACCTTTGATTTTTGCTCATCTTTCCTACATAGGCTACTCTTTCATTTTCATTTTCTTCATCCTTCGGTGCGTGAGCTAGTTCATGCCAGTATTACAGTTTTTATTGATTGGTTTGACACAGCCGTCAACTCAAAAACCACATTTTCAGAACAGTTAACACAGAGGCCTAGACACTGACACATTGGTACACAATGTATGAACACCTCCAAACAATCAGTACACAATGGGCAACAAAATAGAAAATACAGCACTCRTGTGTGAATCAGTGCACCTTTGCTTGTCATTGTAGCCTATGACTGTTACATCCAGTGATGTTTKTAGTCAAATTTGCCCTCTTGCAAAAAATGCATCCAGAAGCAGATATGGTTTGATGCTAATTTTATTGATTACATTCTTTTCTTTTCAGACAGTGCCTGATAAATGAAATATTGTAACAGAGAATACATGGAAATAAAAATAAAATCCTTTACTGTGTGAGAAATTATGTAAATAAAAAACAGCCTTTTCCAGTAAAGATCAAAAATCCATAGTAAACCAATACTATAAGAGTATAAGAGATACTGTAGCTAAAAGTGAAACTCTTCTGTCTCTTCTAGTCTCTTCTTTCTTGAAGAATGGGCCACATGGCCTCATCCACATCACATTCAATATTATTTGCCAGACCCATGTTGACAACGGCTGCCTCCTGCTCAGCATTACAGTTTTTATAGACTGGTTTGACCTGTTTGAAGGAACTGGGAACCTCTCAGTCTTCATCAWCACCATCTCAGCAGAGCAGAAGACACCTCTTGTAACGTGTAAACCCATTCTCATTGGATTGACACAGTTTTCCACCCTTTTTCTAAACAGTTAACGCAGACGTCATTCAAGGAGTCCCTTTCAGCTGTCGGTATGAAACACTGAAAGCACCTGTTTCACTTCTTCACAGAATTTTTCAATTTGCAAACAGTCTGCAGGCCTGTGTTGTTCTCTTGTACTTTTAAAGTAATGTCATGTTTCTTTTTGTTTTTGTTTTTCCTCATCTGTCCTCGTGTGGTTTTTAGTTTTTTTGGAGGGCTGCACCTCCTCATGATGTCTTCATGAAGATGRTCCTTGCTCTGTGCAGGGTCAGTGGGAGCAGATTACCTGTTCTCCCATGTTTGTTATGTTCTGTCTTCTTCTGAACGGTTGTTCTGAACTGTAATTTCATTGTGCTCTGTACAATGACAATAAAGGTCTAATCTGATCTAATCTAATCTAAAGGCCTACTGTAGGTTTTTGTTCTGTACTGTAAAAGGCTGTGTTTTTTATCTACCTAATTTCTCACACAGGTAAAGGATTTTATTTTTATTTCCATGTGTCCTCTGTTGAATAACGTTTTTATTGATTGTTTTTGAGATGGTGATGAGTTTCTTCAAACAGGCCAAAGCAATCAGTAAAAACTGTATTTCATTCATCAGGCACAGTCTGAATAAAAATGTAATCAATAAAATTAGTATCAAATCATTTCTGCTTCTGGATGCTTTTTTGTGCAAGAGGGCAAATTTGACTACAAACAGCACTGGATGTAAGCTACGTACAGTCAGGCTACAATGACAAGCAATGGTGCACTSATTCACACATGAGTGCTGTAATTTGTATTTTGTTGCCCATTGCAGTGTTTCCCAAAGTTGGGGTCAGGACCCAAAGTGGGGTCCCGAAGCATCAAAGTGGGG